AAATATACCTCTAGATGAATGATGCCTGGACTTCTCCGTTCGTCCTGCATAATGATATTTTGACGGTAAATATCATATAAGGTGAAAGGAAAATATTAGAAAGAGCTCGTAATTGCAAGAAGAAAACATTCAGCAGCTATCACAATCCCTTATCATACCAGAATCTTTTCCTTTGTCCCTCGAACGATGACTCCTTTCCTTAACTTTGTCTCTGTCTCTCTCGTGATCTTCCTTACCTCGCTCCCTCTCAGGGTCCCGCACATCTTTGCTCCTACTTCTCTCTCTTCCCCTTTCTCTATCTTTTTCTCTCTCCTTAATTTCTGTTCTGTTGTCCAACATCAATTTTGATTCAGATCCCTCTCTGGACTCCCTGCCATTAGTCACGCTTTTAGATTCGTCATCACTTTTCTTTGACTCCTTCAATTTGTCAAGAGCAGCTTTGACCCCTTCGCCCTTATTACCAGCTTCATTCGGGGTTGACTCCTGAGCAAAAGCCAACAATACAAAATTGAGTATGCTAAAATTGGTGAAACATAAATGAAGGCGGACCCTTACGTGGTGATGATTTTAGTAGGAATGGTTCATCTTTGAATAGGTCAATAAGGGCATAATGGAATATTGGATACTACTTTGATGTAACAAAATAAACTAAGTGAATATAAAAAAGACATAAGCATTATTATTTCCCTTTGACGTAAACAGATAATATTTGTTAGCAATTGGCTAAGGTAGAAATCCAATATGGTTCAGGTGGCAAGGAAAATAATATACAAAGTTACTAACACATTAGACCATGAGGAAATTTACTCTTTTAAGTATAAAACAGTCTCTTCACCTTTGAAACTGAGGGAGGCAGTGACTCCCGGGTTCGATTAGATGTGGCAAATGAACCTCCTTCCTTGCAAACAGGTATATATTGGGCCTTTGGAAGAGCATACAACTTGGCCAACACCCTACAAACTTCATCAATGCCAGATTTGTCAGCATCAAATGCTTTCCACCATGGGGGATTCTCTGGTAGTGGCACTTGAAATCTACGTGCGGCAGCATATACGACACCACATGCCACAACCTCGCTTTTAAATCTCACACACAAGGTTGTACGCAAACTGTTCACATAAGAAAAAAAAATATAGAAACCATCAGAAAGGACAAGAAAAATATAAAATGCAGGACAAGAAAATGCTTTGAATCTCACACAAGGTTTTGGAAGCTAATAATAAATCTGCCAATCGCATTTACAGTTCTTATGATCTTGACAATTTTATAATTCAGCAAAGCGTGCACTGTAATCCTGGTTGAATGGGTGTATTCTATTGCCCAATTTTAGTTGTATTTTCACCCAATTGGTGATGACTATCATCACCCTGAGGTATTTAAAAGAGACTCAATTTTTCAATCAAAATATACCAAGCCGTACACACCAGTTACATAGTAGCACATGGATCACCAACAAAAGAATGCACAAACTTGTGTATCTATGCCGGATAATATTACCTATCATTTGCAAGATTCCAAGCTTCTTGTCTGAGTTCTGGAGGCGTCTCCAATGTGGCAAGGTAATTAGATATAAATTTGTGAGGATGCTCAACATGGCAGATGAAACCCATCTCTTTCAAAAGATGCCTTTCCGTTTTGATCAAATCTGCTTTAAGATTCACGTATCTCTGACAAAGAACAAAACCCAAGAATCCAGGTCAGAACCTAAATTGGTCAATGATATCAACATTTAATAGGACTACCATTAATTAGCAACAATATCAAGTTCAGATTGACTGAAGAAGAAACAGAAGATCAAAATGAGGATTATATTAATACAAAGCAGGGGAAAATTATGATAACATGCATTTTTGAACATTTTTCCTTGAAAAATAAAATAATAAAAAAAAGAAATCTAGAAATTACCGTGGAATATATGTCCAAATGCTGTATCGGCAAATTCTCTCTCCTACATTCCATCCTGTGGAAAACATTGAGAACCTGTCTTGCTTTTCTGGGACTTTCTTCCAGTTTTGAAGCAAGCCAAACACAACTGGCAGCAACTCTCTGAAAGTAATTATACTTGGTTATATTAATAGATTAGAATTACAGAACTCGACTCTAAAAATTGTACTAAGCGTAAACAAGATACCTTTACATTGAATCGAGCAAATGATTTCTTGCAGTAGAAACGATGAAATAGGACCTGACCAGTAGCCATAACAGCCTGAGGTCTGAGAAAATAGATAAGGAAAAGAAGAAAGACAATATAGAATGAAACCTGATTTCCTAAAATAACCAACAAAATCCATTTACCACTCAACCATTAAAAGGACAATAGCAATATATATTAGGAAACAAGAAAAAGGAATTGTTATTTCCAACATCGACTACTTGTAAAGAAAATCATATTAGAAGCAAGATAAAATACTGAAGTGGAAGAGAGCAGAACATATAAAAAAGGATACAATTTAAGCAATATGCCGCTTTCTTGAATCAGATCACAGCCGTAGATTCTGAGAGTAGTCTCAGTTGCTTCATCAATACCATCTTTACTAGAAGGTGAGTTTTTCAATTCCTCATCCGTCAGATAAAATGTATCAATTGCCGTATATATCATATTTGCCTTCACCAAGAGCTAGAACCCTCGTCACAACTGCCAAAAAATTGTAAGAAGACATGAGTCAAGCCGAAATCTGATTTAACAGTAAAGAATATGGAGCAACCACTCTGTTTTTCAACTTCTAAAAACCAAACGTTATCTCACACACAAGAATAAGCTCAGGTAGCACAGGATGGTAGTGTCTGATCTATACATGATTCAATTACCAGATCAACAAACTTGTTTGCCTAAAATCAGTAAGTACATTAGCGAAAACACTTGGACTATTCAATTATCAGCTCAACATAATTGTTTGCCTTAAAAATTGGTAACTACATTTGCAAAAACACTCAACACTAGGTAGGAATAGGGCTGCAGTGTGAAGGGTTCAAACTAAATTGGAGATTCAAGGAAGGACTACTAACATATCCAACAAACGATGAAACCAAACCTATTAGACAAAGAATGTATTTAAAAAAAAAAAAAAGGATAGGAAAAAATTGTATGTCAGAATTATAATAACAAGACTTGACAAGAACAAATTTGATTAGGACTTGCCAAGAACTTGTTTGATACAATGACTTGCTAACGTATGAATCAAATAATAACCGAATAACCGATTTTCTGTATAATCGCAACACTTCAGACAAAAAAATTGCAAAAGGAATAAGTTTATGGCTACTGATAGGCCATCGTTCAAAGGAGAGGGATATAAAAGCTGCTTCGGAACTCAATAGACGGTCAAAATTACAGAAGAGAGAGAAAATACACTTACAAGTACGTCGATTGAGAAACACAACAGTGGTAGCGCAAAGGACGGCTGTGGAACCGGCGACGGAGACGGCGAGATTGGCTGTCGTTGGATAGCGCTTGGTTTGCAGAGCAATTAGGGCAAAGGTTTTTCCTTTTCGGTATTAGGTTGTGAGATTTTGATCGATTTACAATTACTATTACAGCCCAAAAGAAAATGGATTCCTAATTGAATTGTGGACATCATTAATTTAATAATTAGAACATTTTATTATTTTCAAATATGGCTTTTGATAAATTATGAATTAATATTTGTATATGAAAATTAGTAAAACGCACGAATGAAATTAATTATTTATCTTCATACTCTTTACTAGTACGTAACCCGTGCAATGCACGGGATGTAAAATTTGGAAGAATAATATAACCTCACGTGCATTAGGATCGAAATTGAAATCATTAAAATACATAGGAACATTGTTGAATCATAAAAAGTTCGGTAACAATCATATATTATTAAAAACCTCCTTGTACACAACACTATGAGTTTGATTATATGGTAACTCCTCATTATCACAAACTAATATTTTCAAAAGAGACAAATCCTAAAAATCAAACTAATATTTTTGGTGAACAAACTAATATTTTAGGATTGGTGAACAAACTAATATTTTATGATTTTTAGGATTTGTCTCTTTTTGGTGAACAAACTAATATTTTAGGATTGGTTATATGAATAAGGCTACCTGTTTTTGGTGTTCTTTTCATTCATTTTCATTCAAACAATCCGATGACTTGTATAATGAAATCCGAATCTTAAGCCGAAATATTTAAAAAAAGAGTTTTTAAAAATTGAAAAGTCAAGGCAATCAGTTCAGATTAATTAAAGGTCAAATATTATCCGCTCCTTGAAATAAAGACGTGTGCTATCATTAACCAAATATCCGGTTATTGATATAGAGTGATTACCAAAAAATAGAACGCGATAAGGATGCTTCATGGAAATATCAATGAAATAAGGTCATAACAGATTGCTATACATTTCAACGATAAAAGCTCAGATGGAACGATTTATGATAATTATGTTGTAATTAATGAATTAATTAGATGTGTGAAAATGATATAATTAATGAGAAGTGTGAAAAGGACATAATTAATGAGAATGTGAAAAGGACATAATTAATGAGAATGTGAAAAGGACATGATTAATGAGAAGTGTGAAAAGGACATAATTAATGAGAAGTGTGAAAAAAACAAAAACTTACCAATTTTAGAAAATATTTAATGCAAATCCGACATTGACCATAATTTGACCTACTATTTTGAATAAATGTTAATTCTTATTATATAAGTATAGATTTTTATTTATCTAATAATTAAATTATCTTAATTGCAGATCTTTGTAATAATATAAAAGTGGCTATTTGCTACAATTTAAAACATCAAATAAATGAGTTTAAAATGATAAATTAGAGGACAAATAATTAATTATATAATAAAAATCATAATCTATCTATATGTATAAAAAGCGATTAATATTTACCCCAAATAACATAAGAAAAAATTGGGAAGCATTAATTAGGGGGTGATTGTTTATCAATTCATCTAGAAATTAATTGGTTTTTTTTAACTATAGTTACTTTTAAAAAAAGTTAGTATGGTTAGTTGTTAGTGGATATATTAAAATAATATTTAAAATAAAATAATTAAAGTTGATATGATGTAAAAGTAAGAGAAAATGATTGGAATTAGTGGTTAGTTAAAATTATGTAAGTGGATGAATAGTGAATTAAAATTGATGTGATGTGTAAGAATGATTGGTTGGTATTAATTAATTATATTGGTAATAATGGAGATAGTGGAGTTGGGTTAAAGTTGAGTTAAATTTGAGTTTTGATTGGTTTTTTTGAATTGGGTTGATAAACAATCACACCCTTAGTTACTTATGTAGTAACTTCTTACTACAAACTAGTGCGTGGCCCGTGCAATGCACGAGTAAACAATATTACGATTGTATTATAAATTAAATATATAAATAACATTAATCATAATTTATGTATTGTTTTTACATTAAACCGGGTTAGACATAGTCCGACCGGATGGACGGAGAACCGATTTATAATCAGTCTAGTTCGCTTGAATAAGATATTTGCTCTTGAATCCGTCAACACCAGTCGATTGAATTTGTAGGATCGACACGATTTTTTAAATAAATTTTGTTATATTTAAAATTATTTTAAATAAAATTACATATTTAAATAAAATAGAGATTTATAAATTATTTATCAATTAGTTTAAACACTTGAATTTATAATTTTTTTAAATATCTAAGTAACACATTTTATTTAAATTTATTACAAAAGATACTATATATATATAATTATTAAAATGTTTATAAATTAAAATCTGAACAAACCACAACTGATTCAATAAAATAGCTTGATCGTTTCGATGACTGTCCAGTTCTGAGAACCTTATATTTAATGTACATTAATAAATATTATAATAAAAATATTTCTTATTCACATAAATATTAATAAAATGATATATAAATATTCATAAATCATTAAAGATGTTGTCATAAAAGTATTATTAATACGATTATTTGAAATTTGGACTACATTACATTCACGTAATAAAATATTTTCAATATAAAATTTATATTTAGGTTCAATAATCGATTTGGTGTGATCGAACTGATTCGTAACTTAGTCACCTGGGACCAACCAAGTTGTGTTAAGTTTTTTGACTATTTTAAATATCACCTAAAAGTAATTCAATCAACTTGGGCAGTACCCTAATTCAATCACCTGATTGATCCGAAGAAATTTTCTTATTTTCTTTAAATATATTTAATTTAATGAAATAAAAATATCTTATGATTCATATAATAAATGTATACACCAAATAATAGTATATTAAGATTATAAATTATATATCTTAAGACGAATTAATTATTTTTACTTTATGCATAATAATAAAAAATAAACATAGTAATTTTCAAAAAATTAAGATTAATTGATTATTTTTACTATATAAAGAATATTTTTAGCGTTCAATTTTTTTTAAAAAAAACACAAATATAAAGACCGAGATTCTAAAACTCTTGTCATATTTTGAATTGAGATTTTATAAATATAGAGACCGAGATTTTAATTTTGTTCGTTGTTTCTAAGAAAAAAATAAAAGCAAAAACATACACTTAATAGATCTTAGCTGAATTTTTTAAATAATAAAATGAACTAAAGCCCGAAATTGAAGGTAACATTTAATGTTGTATGATTTTTAAAGAAAAATAATAAAACTTACTATTTATAGGCTGTATTAAATTCTGACCTATTTTTTTGCTACTATTTTTGGTAAATGTTAATTCTTATTNCTAATTTCCTTCCGCAATCTTTATTTTTATTAGAAAAAGACTTATTATTCCTTCATTTTATGTGCCAATTAGTAAAAAGTATGAATGGAATTAATTATTTCTTTGCATAATCTTTATTTTTATTTAACTAATAAAAAAATTATTTTAATTGCAGATCTTTGTAACTATGCACTTCTCAATATATCTTTTGAACTATTTTTATTAATAACTAATTGTGGCCTGTGCGATGCACGGGATGATATATTTTTCTAAAACCTTTTTAATATTGAATATTATATTTAATAGACTTGATATATATGTAACAAATGTAAGCAGGTCGGACAAATTAAAAAATTCATAAATTATTGAATACTTCCGTGTAAACAACGTTTTGGTTTAAAAAATTCCTTGTAAACAACGTTTTGGTTTGATTTGGTGGCGAGTAATCATAACAACAGACTAATAATTTAAATAATTTTAGCATATAGATTCAATTTAGGTAAAATTAAATTTGATTGATTTACATTTATATTTATCATTCGCTCATATAACTATTTAATTAAATAAGTTCATTATTTATTAATATGCAAATTTGAACGGTGGATTTATAATTGGTCAAATAATATGTAAATCAAAATTTTGGATTACATTTGTGTTAATTTTTGCCATTTTGTGCATGTCAATTACGAAGGACAAAATTTCTATAAAAAAATATTTCGATGTCTATTTTATTATAGTAGCACAACGTATTTGTGAAAAAAAAAATACATTAAGTTTTATTTAATTGATTATAAATAATATTTTAATTATAAATCAAAAAGAGAAATAAAGTTTCACGACTAAACGTTTTTTGTAAAGGAAATCTCTCTGTTAATTATCCAAATAAATTTCAGATAAACATGGTATGCTGGTTTTTTTTTACAAACTAATTTCTCGATCAACCAACCAAAACTTTAATTTATAAACGATTTAAAATATTAATAGAGACCTTTACAAATAGAACTGGATTTCAAGCAAATTTTGCATAGAAAATTTGTACCGTAAATAATTTGGAATGTCACAAAAGAGTAAATAGTTTATACCATAAATAATCTAATAGCAAATCAGATAAATTAAACACGTGAAGATCAAAAGCCATTAAAAATTTAATTTAGATCGGATTACCAAAAGAAGTAAGTCAAAGGCTTTGACCCATTTTTTAAAATCAAGTTTCCACAAATGATTTTTTCATCAACCTCTTTCAATATATAAAAAATTAATTAATTTTCATAATATAAGTTTACTTCTTTTATTGTCTTTTTTTACCATCGTGCGTCATTTTAAAATTACATGTTTCCTAAATATTAGGTAAAATATGTCGAATCGGAGCCCATCTGTTTGTTTCAATTAAATTACCACAAAGACTCTGATAAATAGAGTTATGTGGTATTGAATCTCTTTCAAATTTGAATGTGTGATCTTATTGGTTATGTTTGTTACTTTTAATTGTTTAGCTAATTAATTTTTTGTTTTCGCAATTTACTTTTAAAATATATTTATTCAACTAATTACTTTCTTTTTTATTTTCAGGAAATACAAATATTTTTGGAGTGAATCCCATTGTTGGAATTTATGTTACATTTTGTAGTATTTTTTTAGGCATGAGATAATCAAAATTTATTATATGTGATTTATTTTGATTACATTTTGAAAAAAAAAAATAGATCAGATTAAAAACAACATTATTAGAAAAAATAGTAAGTGATTTTAAATTTGTAAATCAACCCAGTCGTAAAAAAATCAAGTCAGCCGTAATTGAATTAATTGAAAAAACTGAATTCCTTTTGTGCGATTTGAATCCCAAGTAATACCAAAAAGAATTTTAAATTGCAACAAATCATTATCGCACACGTGAGACACGTTCCAAATAAATTTTAAACAACATTTCCAAAACTGGTAAGTCGAAGGTGTGACCCAAATTTTTCAACTTCTATTTTTGATTTTTCCATCAACCTCTTTCAATATATATAGATATAGATATAAAAGTAGATATTTACAACAATTTAAAACATGAAATAGATGAGTTTAAAATGGTAAATTAGAAGATCATATGTCTCTATGCAAATAATTAACTCAGAATCAAAATTATAATCTTTATAATATGTACTTTTTATATTAGAAAAATTATAAAAAAAGATAGTGGAGTTTTTTAAGTGAGTCTCTTGAGAGATGAGTCAGTTGCCATTTCGGCCTTGAAAGATAAAATTATATCCATATGAGATCTGAACGATAGAAGCTATCATCTTGAAAGATTAAATATATCGATTCACGGCTCGAAGTTGTGTCATCTATTAAGTTAACATTTTTTTTTTAATATAACTGTAAAAAATAATAGAAATCAAACCATAAATACAAATTTAAAGTAATATGAAAAATATGACTAAATTGTCTACGTCATATCATTTACAAAAGTAAAAAACTTATATATAAAAAATATTTCAATATAAATAAAAAGTATAATTGAAAATATAAATAAAAAGTATAAAACATAGTTTACTTTTTAGAGATTTCAATTGATAATTTAAATTATTGGGGTCCTAAATTGAAAGAATTTATCTTTCAAGTCCGAATTACCCCATTTTTAGAGTCTCTAATGTAAATTGAAGTCTTAAATTAATAATTTTAAATCTATTTGTTTATATTAACAATAGATAAATAAAATAAATGAATGGATTAATATTAAATAATATAAAATAATTTGTTTATTTATAAGACTCGTGCTTTGCACAAATACATGTACTAGTTATTACAAAATATTGTTTTGCATATAGTTTTAAATACTATTAAAAAATCCTCTTGACAATATAGCACATTACAGATTCATTTTAAACGGTTTTGAATTTAAATTCACAATAAAATATAAATTCTTTAAACCCTTTTTATTTTCTTTTCGTAAATCTTAGACAAAAATAATTGGATAACTTTTCTAGTACGAAAAATTCCAACCCCCAAATCCCCCGACGACGTTCCAAATAAACAGATACTACAAAGTACAAAACGCAAAACCCCAAATAATTTTTTCGCATAAAAGGGGAAAACAGNACAGAAAACCAGAGAAATTTTCTGAGATGGATATCGGATCCACGTCATACAATTTCTCCGGTTATTACGGCGGGATGCAAGACCTGAGAAGCTACAGCGCCTCCGACGCTTCTTCCTACCCGGCCGCTGGGCAGAACGGCGGGCCAGCGGCGGCGCCCGGCGGCGTCGGGGAGCGATGGGAGTTCCAGAAGGGGAATTCAGTAAACGGCGTCGTTTCGAAGAGCTGGAGCTTGAACGATCCCGAGCTGCAGAGGAAAAAGAGGGTCGCAGGTTACAAGGCGTACACAGTGGAAGGCAAGATGAAGGGCTCAATTAAGAAGAGCTTCAAGTGGCTTAGGGAGAGGTACACCCTCTTGGTCCATGGCCACATCTGATCAAATTTGATCGATTATTCTAAGAATAGCTTGGAATATTATAATTATAGATTTTGTATGTACTTAATTTTGTGGGTATCATATTCATATGCTCTGGAGTGAAATGATTTGAATGGTTAGAGCACACGTTCAGCCATTAATGTTTGAGAATGAGACCCGACTTTAGTCTCTATGATCAATGTTTGTATATAATATGTTGAGAGCCAAAGATCTTTTTCTGCATTATTATATGGAGTAATAATAATAGTCTAATACAACACTATTTTTCGTTATTTCCTGTGATGATCTGTTGGTTGTTTGCTTTCTCAGCTTTTTTCAACTAATACTAGATCAGTGAGGCCTAACCTCATCATAATTAACTAGTACTTTTTATTGAGACTTTACTCAATGAGGGTGGCAATTTTTCGATTGATGTGTAGGTCAAATTCTTGAGTGGGGCTAGTAAGATTGTACGGTCAGTTGTCTTATAGTCAATGGTTTCTACCTTGATTGATATCCGATTGAGAATATTAAATTTAAAATATGAAAGAAAATTATAATATGAAAGTTACATAGTTTATAAATAAATTTGTAGCTTATAACTAATAACTTATGACAAATGTGTAATAATCTACTAGGTACAGGAAAAATGAATGCTTGGTTGAATAATTACTCAAGAAAGTTTATAAGATAAGCTTGAGCTTCTTAGAAAAGCTGTTCGAATGTGTTTGGTAAACACCATAAGGTAACTTATAGCTTATTTAGCTGGCTCATAAGCTTCCTGTATTCAAACAAGCATGAATTATGTTTCATAAACTTAGTTGGTAGCTTATAAATGAATTTCGAACTTATAGTTAATAACTTATGGTTGAAGCTTATAATACAAAATTGAGCTTTTAAAAAAGCTCGTCATACCAACCAAACTTATTTGAATATATGAAGCTCTTATAAGTTAATCAAAATAAGTTATAACACACTCTTGGTTTGTTGGGACAAGTTTGTTTAAAAAGTTTGAGTTTATCTCATAAGTTTCCTTAGGAGTGTGTTTGATAAACACCATAAGCTATCTTGTAGCTTATTTGATTAACTTATGAGACTTATGAGCTTCATATATGCAAATAAGCTTGGAAGCTTTAGAGATAAACTCAAACTTTTTAAAAAAACTCGTTCTGACAAACCAAACTCATTTAAATACAAGAAGCTTATAAGCTCGCTAAATAAGCTATAAGCTTATACGGGAGAGAAGAACATTTCCAAGAGTTACTAGTGGCAGAGAGCAAAGAATGACTGGCTTCAAGCTTCCTCAACAGAGCAGTCAGATTTTGGATATATTCACTCAGTTGAGAGATTTGCAAGTCTTTAAGCAGAAAAATTTGTGGTGGGAGTACGGCAGATTGCACTTTCCGTCAGTGCACATTTTTCTGAGTTGGGGACTGCAATTCTTGAAGGAGCTGCCATGAAAGATGGGGTGACTATTCAGACTTGGCCAGCTGTTAGAGTGAAGGTTGAGTCCAAGAAGGAAGCTACATTACTAGCTGTGAGGAGGATTCTCGAGGAAGGTACACAGCAGGGTTGAAGGGAAATTGCTGGCTACTTGGATTCAAAGGAGGTTGTGTTGTTGAATTTGCATTTTTCTGTTTCTTCTAGACTTGGCTGTTTGGTTGATGATATTTGGACTTTAAAAACATTGTTCTCTTCTTGTTTAGTTCAATTTCTAGTTAAGGTTGGTGTAAGCTATGTTGGATTTGTCGGAAGAGCACTTTGTGACTCTTTCATGGGTTTCTTCTTTAGGTTGTGACTCTTTCATGGGTTTCTTCTTTAGGTTTCCTAGGGAAGAAGTTGCGTAACTAGTTGATTACCTGAATGTATATTTCCAGTCAGTTTAATAATATTTGTTCATTTGCAAAGAAGAAAGATAA